AATAATAATAATAATAATAATAATAATAATAATAATAATAAAGTTGGAAGGGACCTTGGAGGTCATCGAGTCCAACCCCCTGCTCAGGCAGGAACCCTACACCATTTCAGACAAATGGCTGTCCAGTCTCTTCTTAAAAACTTCCAGTGTTGGAGCATTCACCACTTCTGGAGGCAGGTTGTTCCATTGGTTAATTGTTAAATTCAGGAATGAAGGTCAAAGGGACTGGTGTCAGTTTACATGCTATTATGCATAACTGAATACATTTCTCTTCCCCCATGTTTCAGGAATTGACTTGGCAGATTCCAATCAGAGACTCAGTATCCAAAGGGTGAGAGAAGAAGATGCTGGCCTTTACCTTTGTAGTGTCTGCAATGCCAAAGGTTGTGTGAATTCCTCCGCCAGTGTTTCTGTAGAAGGTACTATTACTAATTACAGTCCTCTGATTTTATAGAGAGATAGGTATATTTGGAAAGAAAGTAGCAGGAGAGGAAAGGTAAACCATTTGGAAGAAAGAAAGGCTTTTTGCCATGCTGATGCAGTAAAACAATTTTCATTCTCCATCATTTACATCCTAAAAAGTTGTTCCTAACTAGCCCAATCAAAAGAAAATATATAAAATTTCCAACAATTCCTTCTTGGCTCTCTCTGCATGTATCCTTGATTTGTACTATACTTATTATAATCTTTCTTCCATTTCTTTTGTTCATATAGGCTCAGATGACAGGACCAATGTGGAAATTGTAATCTTAATCGGAACTGGGGTTATTGCCATCTTCTTCTGGATTCTCTTGATCCTCATCTTCTGTAATATTAAGAGAGTAAGACTTCTTTTCCATCCTCCGTCTAACAAGCTTGATTTGGTGTAGTAGCAAACAGAATCATAAACAGCTCCAACCTTCAGATCAGATGATTATTTTACTATACTTAATGGGAAATACATTTGAATGGCATCAGTTGGGGCAGATAATATAGGATAACAATTTCTGTAGTCCCATTCCAGTACTGTTATGTTTTTCCCCCCTTCAGGCAAGAATTATTTGCTTTTTATCAGGAAAAAAAATGGCTGGCAGCGATGACTAAATAATGTTGGCCTTGCTGTGGAAAAGAACCAAATAGAGCCCCCTAGTCTGTCATTTGCTCATGCAGTGTAGCACACTGATAGGAAAAAAGTTTCGCACAATGAATCGGTTTCTAGCAGATGTTATACAGAGTGACTGGATGTCAGAACCATTTTTCTTTTTGCTAAGACAAACAGAGCCAGTGTCAAGGATCAGGATTCGAAGAAAACTAAACAATGACACACGTCCTTTGCAAAATGACCACAATCTAGTAGCTTTCTCTGTGTTGCAGCCTGCTCATGCTGATATCAAGACGGGCTACCTTTCCATTATCATGAATCCAAATGAAGTCCCTTTGGAAGAACAGTGTGAATACCTGCCCTATGATTCCAACAAATGGGAATTTCCTCGGGAGCGACTTCGATTAGGTACACAGAAACATTGTGCTTGCTGGTGAGAGAGGAATAGTTGTAAACACTTTCTAGCAATCATGGGGACTCTGATTGCTGATAATGGTATGTACCCCAGGTTGAGTTGTACTGTAATAGCAACTCATAGGATCTACAGTTTTTGTTGCCCCAACCCAACATCCACTGTGTTCTGGATTGCAATATACATACAACATGGTAGATCTACCAAAAAGTATACAGACAGTGGATACAGCAATTATTGAAGTGCCATCTTTTCCAGTCTAATCCAAAAAGTTGCCCTCACTTTTCTGGTATTTTCTTTTCAAAAGCAAGACATGACATCCTGCTTCAGCTAGCGATTTCCTTCCTTTTGCTTTGTTGACATTGCCTCTCTCACTTCCTCTCCTTACCCTTACTCTGAAAAGGCAACACCACCTGTAAATGGTGAAAATGCCATTATTTCTTCTTCCTTTCCATACCTTTATTTCTTTGTTGTCTTGATTTCCTGTTTTGTGTGGGTCTCATTCAAGTTATTGTGAATAGTTATATAAATTCCTCCAAATGCAATCTGGATTTTTTTTAAAGCTTGCTTTGCACCCTCTTTTTTCCTTTTTTTTCAGGTAAAGTCCTAGGCCATGGGGCTTTTGGGAAAGTAATGGAAGCCTCTGCATTTGGAATTAACAAAAGCAATAGCTGTGAAACTGTGGCAGTTAAAATGCTGAAAGGTAGGCAAAATAAATAGATTATATAAATATGAGAATATTGGTGCTCTATCTGGAAATAGCCATCAAGCTACTAATTGTCTCTGGACGACAATTTTCCCATCATTTTAACTATCATTCATCACTTCTTGAATGTTCAACTGTGCTTTGATCAAGAAAAGTCACAAATCTGATCTTACTGGACTAAAATAATCTTTTTTGTGAACATTCCATTTTTTGGCATCTAACTATAATAATCTTTTCATATCTGTTAAACGTTCTCCCCAACAGAGCTCCCAATTATTGATCAGGAAGCAGTTACTTGTAGCCAACTAATCAACTTATAAATACCTAATAAAATGAATTAATTGAAATAAGTAACACTGTGAATGATGTTTGGATAATGATTACTGGATGTTTCATTAAAAAAACACAAGAGTTCATCATTTCTACAAAGTAAAATAGTGTTCATGTCCCAGAACGCTGAGGAAAGCACACTATACAGTACTAGATTTCAGAGAGCAGAACACTCCAATTGAGAGCAATTCCTTAAACACATAGTCTGATTCTGAACAAGAAGTGAGTGTAGCTTACCATCAGGCAAGTACTAAATTATTAGCCAACTTGAGTGTCATAGTTTTAAACTTATATGCTTATCTTGGGAGTTCTAGTATTTCCCATCTCAGAATGGAGAGAAATGGTCAGTTACGCCAGGGGTCTTCAAACTTGGCCCTTTTATGACTTGTGGACTTCAACTCCCAGAATTCCTCAGCCAGCATACCTGTCTGAGGAATTCTGGGAGTTGAAGTCCACAAGTCATAAAAGGGCCAAGTTTGAAGACCCCTGAATTACGCCAACAGGGAGACATGATTTCTGAGGAGTGTCTAACAGTTCTGGGGCCACAGATCAAACATTGTGCTCTATTTGGACCTGTCTGCTCAGGAGCAGGAGAACTAGATAAATCCTTTTCTGTTTTTCAAAATCCTAAATGTGGCATAGTGTACATTGAAGGTTTGTGTGCCATAAAACTACCAGAAATAATTGTTGGCAGGTTAAAAGTAAAAAGAAGAAACATGAAGGAAAGATGGTTGGAGACAAGAGATTTTAATATTTTAATTAACAGAACAGACTATCTTACTTGTAGCTTAGCTGTTAATACAACTGATTAATGTCTTCAGCCCTAAGCACTATAATGGAATATTGATAGCGGTGGAGAATCTCATTTTATAAAAAGGCTTAAGGCACTTGAAAGTACTAACAGGTTTTTCTAATCAACTTAACATTTTAAATTGCAGCTTTTACATCTCTATTTGTTTTAATTCTCTGTGGGGATTCTAAAACTAACCTCAGTGTGAATTAGGGTAGGGAAAACCAAGGAAAATATTTCAAAGAGCTAAGCATTGAGTAATAGCTGTTACAACAGAATCAGGGCCTTTTAGTAATTGGCGTTTGGTCTTAAAACTATTCTCTCTCCACTGTACAGAAATAGTTGCTGTTCCACTGAAATTAGAAATGTTATTGCTACTGTAGGTAGAGTCAGTAGAGGGCTACTTTTCTCCTTGCTGTGGTACTTCTAATTTTTCTGGGAGTTATGAGTGCTTCTTTGTGAAAGAATCATCTTGTCTGCCTGCATTACCAGTCTTATTATTACAAAATTTACTAATACTAATACTAATTACTAACCAATCATAGAGTTGAAAGAGGTCATGTAGTAGAGAATCAAGTCCAAAATCCGCACTAAAATAACATTGCTAGTCTCTGTGGGAAAGAGCTAGGAGCTGAATATTATATATTATATTAGAGATGACCATAAAATGCTGATGCATCTTTTATAATCGAAGATTGTGTCTGGGATAGTATGGATAGCGTTAGCATCATCTGCGCACTAACTCAGAACTTTTAGTCGTTGAGAATAAATAAGACATATTGCAATTCAGTATTTGTAGTATCAGCATCTGCTTCAGTAGAACACTATGGTCTTGCTCAGGTTCAAGTGTCATCTTTTGTGCAGCAGCTGTTGGAAAAAAAACAGAGTACTGTTTACCAGCATTGCTAGTTTATGACTCAGGAAGAAGTTTTTATTCCATCTGCTTCAGAGTGTATTAGAAGATTTTTTTATATAGGGTTTATAGTTAGAATTCCAAGCTGTGGGACAATTTAGGCTTTACTTCGAGCTTCTGTTCTGTTAATGTTCCACCTCTATACAAATAATAATAATAATCAGAAAGTAAATCAAACTTTTACAGGTGTTTATGTGTTTATGTGTTAGCAGATATAATTTTTATTTATAATTGATGACTGGCATTATAGACATAATAAATGATTGTTTTGATTAGTTTTGCTTTGATTTGAAATTAGAGCTGAAATGGTGGCAAATTGCTACTGAGTCACAGAGATCTGAACTGAAATTTGATGTCTTTATAAATAGTATTGATATGGAACTAGATTTTGAAGTAATCATTTCAATTTATTTATGCATCCATCCATTTGTAGCTGCCCCTGTAGGTATTGAGTTGTCATAATATATTTATCATGGCCTTTGGTTGAAGCAATATGCTTCAGAATTTTATTATCATATATATAGAAAAGAACACAGCATTAAACCTCAATCACACAGAATAATATTGATCAATCTTTCCATTATATCAATATATTCAGTTCATAAGCACCAAGTGACCATATTTCATCAATCCAAGATTGTAAATCCAGGATGACACATGCCTTCCCTTATAAAAGAGTAACATTATATACTGTTTCATATAATAATAGATTCTAAGGTATTGGCTTATAATTCAGATTTACATTCACAACCTTAAACTGTAGTGGTCTTGCCCAAACCACAATTAACAAACTTAAAAGCAAAAAATCAAGATGGGACAACAGTGTGCATATCATATCATAAGGGTCCCTTTGGTCAATCCTAATAAGGATAACAGGCAATCCTTTTAAATTCTTTGTGAAGTGCCCAATAAAAGCTTAAAAATTAATTTAAGAGCATAAAAAAACATATTCAAAACATATGTTTTGTCCCTCCTTCACTTTTGTGGGTGAGGGTCCGTAGGACCTTTTTTCTTCCTTATTTCTAAATATTAAAGTATTTAATTTAAAAGTAAGTAAATTTACAGTATATATTTTCTTTAAAATATTTTATAGCCCAGGGACAAACATGTTTTTACATTGAACTTGCATGCTTAATTAATTTTTATGGAAATTTGTAAATGTTCCAATTTTTCCTATAAATTTGGAACAAAGATATGCACAACAGTCTCAGTGTAGTAATGTTTTCATTCAGGTCAAAGGAACTGATCATTAGAGCAGTATTATGTAATGGGAGCATAAACACTTTTTCCTGTGAAGAGTCATTGATGCGTGAGAAAAATCCATTTAGGAGGATTTAGGTGGCTAGATTCAGAATCAGAACCAGAAGGGGGTGAAGCTATCTCTGTAACTTTGTACCAATCAAATTAATTGGGCCAAAAAGCTGCACTGCATGGGCACTTTGGCACTGAGATGATGTTAAATTTTGTATTTGAAAAAAAAACAACTTGATGGTAGTCACTATAGGTTATCCATCTGTACTTAGGAAAACTAATCAAAATAGATTTTAGGTCAATGATTTTATTAGTTGAGGTTAAAGATCTTGTCCTCCTGTATGCTACATATATATAAGGTTCTGGTGTAAGAGTAAAATATCTGAATGAAAAAAGCTTTGTTGTACTGGCACAATATCCATAAATGAATGGCCTTATTCATTAGGTTGCATGTAGCTGCAAAGACCTGCTTTAAAAACAGGATGCATGAAGAGAGGGATCTTTTGTTTACTATGAATTGTTCTCCCTGTATAATGTAGAAGTTTTTTATCCTTTCATCTGAAACTGAAATATAAATAGCTTTGCATGATTGAAAGACAAATGCTGATTATGTATAACTGAAGCCAGACTTGTTTCAGAGGGAGCTACTGCAAGTGAGCACAAAGCTCTCATGTCAGAACTGAAGATCCTCATTCACATAGGAAACCATCTGAACGTGGTAAATCTCCTGGGTGCTTGCACCAAACCTAACGGTAAATATGCTTCATCAGTATTGAGTGCCAAATGGGAAAAATAAAAGCAATGCTACAAAATCCTTTTGTTTGATTAAGCACAAGTTCTGATGTCAAATATTGTCTCCAAGGTGCTTTTTCAAGAGGCAACTGGACTTTCTCAAGAAAGTCCAGTTGCCTCTTGAAAAAACACTTTCTTGGTCACCTCAGACTGAGAATCTCCATAGATGTCAAATATTGCACTTATGAAGATTTCCAGGGGAGTGTCCTCTATTCCAGCAGTCCCCAACTCCTGGACTGCAGCCCACTATTGGGATGCAGCCTGTTCGGAATCGGGCTGGGAGAAATGGGCAAGCACGCATGCATGAAGGTCCACCCACACAAATGGACGCACGCGAGCGCCATCCACTCTTGAAAATGGAGCTTTGTGCGCGGGCACAAGCACCTTCTGCTCAAGCGCCATCCACTCACACGAGTGGAGCTTTGTATGCGAGCACAAGTATCCTCCTCTCGCATGGAAAGCTCCATTCGCATGAGTGGAGGGCGCGGGCAGGCCACCCACACAAATGGAGCTATGCACACACATGTGCGCCTGGCACTTACATGCCCCCTCCCCGAATCAGGCTGGGCCGCCAAGCTGGAAAGGTTGGGGACTGCTGCTCTATTCAAGAGTAAAACAATTGCTTTAGATATTAAGATCCTACCAGGAGTTGCCATACGATGGGTGACTATGTAAACATTTTAAATAAATGAATCATTGAAACTGAAACTCTGCAGAGTTGCTGCTAACTATTATTGGTAATATTTAACTCAACCAACTGACCACCCCCTTGAAAGACAGTTACAGTTTATAACTTTTTCTGGGCTTCAAAGATGTTTTTTCTGAATGACAACTGGACCTTCTTGCTTTTTTTCCTTTGAAAATGTTTTGTTTCTCATCCAAGAAGTTTCTTCAATTCTGAAATTGAACTGAAGAAATGTCTTGGATGAGAAGCAAAAGTCCAGCACCGCGACCTGGATGATTCACATTTTCTGTGCAATTCCCTTCCTTCCTTTCTCCATTGGCTTTTCTTCTGCAGGTCCCCTCATGGTAATTGTTGAATTCTGCAAATATGGAAACCTCTCCAATTATTTGCGAACCAAACGGGAAGGATTCAGCCCTTACAGGGTATGTAAATTGATGTTTTCTTAGCACTGTTTGTAATCCCCATTTTTGGAGAAAGTGATGATCTTCTGAAGAAAATTTAGCAATGAAATTGGAAGCATGCTACATGTATAAATTGTTGCTTGATATTTGAATGGGAAACTGACTACGTGAGTAGGACATACTTTGTGACTGTCCTGTTGGAAGAATAGTGATTATGATAATAATGATGCTTCTCTATTGAGAAAACATAACTTTCACTTCCCAATTGCCTTCCCTGGTTGTGATTTTCATAATCTGGGAATCTGGCAAAGAGAAAATCAGCTGATGTGGCAAAATAGGAAGGCTTGTGGAAGCAAGAAGAATACACATTTTTTTTCATTTACTGCTCCAATGTTTTAAATTGTCCTCTTCCTCAATCAGGTTCAAAAGCAGTATGTCTTTGAACTCATGAGCATGACTGGTGGTAGCATGGCCAATGATTTTTGTGTTGCTCCAATCGAATTGTAACCAATTCTACGTGGGACAAACATCAATTAAAAATCAGGATCCACGAACACTGGCTGGCAATCAAACACCATGATCCCAAATCCTTAATCTCTACCCACACCAACACCAAACAGCATCAATTTGATTGGAGCAACACTAAAATCATCATCTACACTACCACCTGCCACACTCGTGAGTTCATCAAAGCCTGGCACTCCACAAGCAATTCCATCAATAGACACATTGACCTATAACCAGCCTACGAACCCCTCAGAATCCAAATCAACCGCAAAGCCAGCCAGAGACAACACCCACCCTCAACCAACCCATGCACCAGCAGTTCACCTCCCAATGACCCTCACCTGAGGTAAACTGTCCATCACAAGACCCATCACAAGACTCGTTGAGCAGGGGGCTGGACTAGAAGACCTCCAAAGTTCCTTCCGGCTCTATTCTGATTGATTCTGGTTGATTGATTGATGACTCATACCTGACCCATCACAGACCTTCACTTGACACATCCACAACTGAAGCCCTTATAAACAGAACAACATTGACATCCCCTAAACTCTGCTGAAGATATTACCTAGCCTGGTAATGAAACCTTCAGAAACCAATCCACAAGCTTGGAGAATGAATCTTCATCTTCATCCTACACCCGAGCTACAGATATTCACCACTATTGCATATGAAGAAGAATTTGGGGATGGCCAGTCTAGAGAAAAGACTGGCATTTAAACATACTATAAGTTACAAATAGGGATTTCTTATTTTCACCACCCACCTTATAAGCTGTATGGCTCATCTGTATTGTGACTTGTATGTCTGCTATCCCCATGTTTACTCTACCTTTCTATCTGCTAAATAAAGTTTAATGTGTTTGGACTATTTGATCTAATATGAAAGAAATCTCTCTAGTGTCTGAATCACTGAGTAATTTGTCTCCTAATAGTAACTTTTGTCATCTGGTCATCCTCCCAGGAAAAATCCCCAAGGTTGCGCATCCAAGTTCGTTCCATTGTGGAAGCAGTTCGAGCAGACAAAAGAAGTCGGTCTTGCACCCGTGACAGTGCAATTCTTAACAGACTTCTAATGAACAAGAGTCAGACAGCATCATCAACACATTTCATACAAGAAGGTAAAAAATAGTGTCTGTTTTTTCCTTCAGAGGACTATAATTAATTGTGCAGGGTTTCTTAAATCATGGTCTTAATGAATCTTGAAAGCTAATGGTAATTAATGTGGGTTACTATTTATCCTAACCTTAGCTATTAGAAAAAAATAGGGCAAGCGAGATACTGGGTCTTTATATGCCTTTGCA